TACATGCAGACTCTTTCTGTTAAAAAATTATGGTTTGCTATTTCAAAGCATAGGTATGCAGAGATACAGCTGGTCAGTAGTGTGCTCTCCTTCTGCTCTATCACCAGTTTCTTTTCCTTACTAAGATATGGCTTTCACTAGGACCATCATTTTCCTAGTCCTCTAGGGTTGACAACTTGGAGTCACCTTTATTATGCTCACTGCCGCTTCTGTCATGCCACTCAGTCATCAAGTTCTATTGATTCCTCACCAAACAATGTGCATTTGACAAATAACTACTGGGCAAATGTAAATAACCAAACAATGTCCTTAATATTAGGGAGTTTTGAACGTGGTAGGAGAAACAGATACATAAATAAAGTGTGATGTTAGAGAGGTCTACACAGAACATGGTGGTCAGTTCTATGAAGGAGTAGGCCAGTTAGTCCAGGAAGGCAATGCTTGAGTTTGCTGGCTGTGTCATCTACCTAGATGGCAAAGATGTTCTCCTCAATTTCTCCCTTTTTCTAGCCGTTCATGATCCATCAGAAATTTTATTTCCAAAATATATCTTGAATCCCTCTGCTTCTTTCTACTTCCACTGCACTTCCCTAGTTCAAGCCACCATCATCTCTTATTTGGACTAAAAATGTTACCTATCTGGTGTCTCCACTTCCATCTTTGCCTTGTTAAAATACATTCCTCACAAGCCATTCAGATTTTCTTAAAATCAGTAAATTAGAGCATGTCATTCCCCTGTTTAACAACCCTTTGTTAGTTTCTCGTTGCATTTAGAAAGAAAAGCTGAACTCTTTCCCATGCCCTGCAAGGCTTTAATGATAAACCTCGTGTCCAACCTTGTATCATACCATGCTAGCCATAATGGCTTTCTTTCTACTCTTGCATCTCAAAGCTTATTCCTATCTTTGGTAGGAGGAATAATGGCCCCCAAAGATGTCCATGTCCTAATACCTGGAACCTGTGAATATGTTACTTTACATGTCAAAAAGGACTTTGCAGATGTTATTAAGGATCTTGAGATGGGGAAAATTATCCTGGATTATCCAGTTGGGCCCAATGTAACCGTTAAAGGACTCCTAAGTCCTTATGACCTTTAAGTCCTCAAGTCTCTTTAAGGACTTGAGTCCTTAAAAGCAGAGAACGTTTTCAGAGAAAGTGATGTGACAGCAAAAGTTGTCTCAGAAGATGCTATGTTCTGGCTTTCAAGATAAAGGAAGAGACCATGAGACAAGGAATTCAGTGAACTCTAGAAGCTTGAAAAACAGGGCGACGTACTTTTCCCCACAGCCTTTAAAAAAGAATGCAGCCCTGCTGACAATTCAATTTTAGCCAAATGAGACCCATGTCAGACTTCTAACCTACAGAATACAAGAAATACATTTGTGTTGTTTAAAGAAGATAATACATTTGTATGTTATTAAGCCAAGAAGTCAGTAGTAAATTTTAAGGCAGCAAACACCATTAGGATACTAGCACACCATTCTAGGCCATTCACACTTGCTGTTCCCTTTGCTTGGAATGCCTTTTTTTTTTTTTTTCCAGTCCTCAATAATAAATTCTTTTCAAATTTTAGGTCTTAGCTTCACTGTTATCTCCTTAAATGGGTCTTTCCTAATGGTCTTATCTGTAATGTTCCTCCTGCCACTAACTCTTAAACTCTCAAACAATAGCCTGATTATTTTATTTGTGACATATTATTGTCTGAAATTACCTTGTTTGTATATTTGCTTACTCATTTATTGTTGTTTTTCTGCTCACGGTTGTCATCTCTGGGGAATCAGGGACCTTCTCTGTGTTGTTCACACCTATATCCTTAGTGCCTTGACTAGAATCTGGCAAATAATAGGCTCTCAATAAATATTTGTTTAATGAAGGAATGAATTAGACCAGAGAGGTGGTTATTTCAGGCAGAGGTCAGAGCCTGAAAGTCCTGCAGTGTGAAAATGCTTTACGTGCCTGGGAAAAATGTATGTGGCTGTGGATGAGATAACAAGAGGAAAGCAGAAGGAGATGGGAACCAAGAAGAGGCACTTATTATTACTATCATGTTAAATGTCATGTTACTATAATGTACAATATCATGTTATTATATCTTGTGAGTACTTGGGAGTCAGTTTTTTAAGCAAGGGGAGTAGTGGAGTAAAGGAATGCTTAACAAAGTCAACAGTGCTGGATGACCAACTGGATATAATTTGAGGGACAGAGTCTGCTCCCAAGTTTCTGATCTTTGGGACTAGGATGATGGTGGTAGTGCTAATTGGCATAAAGAACAATGGGAGGTAATGTTTTCTCTTTGGACTATTGAATTTTATGGATCTGTCCAGAGGGAGATGTTTAATGTAGGCACAGAAATACAGGTCTGCAGCTCAGGAGGAAAGTCTCCACTGGGATTCATTAGCATGTTGATGGAAATAAAGTCAAAAGTTCTAATAGTTAATATAGCCCAAGACAATGGGTAAGAAGGGAAAAAGCTGATAGTACAACACTAGAGAGCACAAATGACTTTGTGAGAGGAATTAGCAAACAGAGTTTGACCAGAAAAGCAAGGGGCGTAAGAAAAGTATGTGGGACCAGAGAAGCCATGGGGGAAAGAGTTTTCAGTAAGAAGGGAGCAGTCAGAATATCAACCACAATGGGAGGAAAGAAGAAAAATCTTTGGGTTTATTACAAAGAGGTTGCTGGTGTCTCTGGCAATGCGATAGTAGAGTGCTGGTGGTGAGCTCCTGCTGCAGAGGGCGAAGCATGACTGGGAGTGAAGGAGTGGAAGGATGAAAGGGAACACGGGAGGCGTGGGGTTAAGGGACACCTGCCCTTCCTTTTTAAAAAATTTTTTCTTAAAAAAAAATAGGCCGTAGGTGAGGAGCAGGTTTACAGGCTGCTGCGGGAAAGGCACTAGTAGAGGAAGAAATGAGGCAGGTAGAGGAGAAGGAGGAGGACACTGTCAGAGGAATGTCCTGAAGGAGATGGAAAGGATGGGGTGAGAAGGGATCAAGCCTGAGAGGTCGCTGGGACACCTTTTGTCCTGAGACTGGAGTATGAGTGTCAGGTAGATATAAGAAGAGCTAGGAAGCAGTGAGAACATTGCCTTTGGAGTCATATATCACTGAAATAGAATTCTAAATTTATCTCTTATTAGCTGAGCAAACTTGAGCAAGTAAACTTATTTGAACCATAATTCATTATATATAATTTGAGAAAAATAATAAATACCTTTCAGGTTTGCTGTGAGCATTAGTAAAAATACACCCACGAGGCACATATTATATTGTAATATGTATATTGTTGGGATGGGCTCGTAGGAATTAGGACAGATTCTGAGGTCTCTGCTACAGCACTGAGGGCTAGAATCAGTTCTTCACGAACTAAGAAATGGTACTATCCTCTATCCTCAGTTCAACCACATTGATTAAACAGACATAGCTGGTCAACACCTATGTACATTTTAGTCTTTTCCAAATCGTAGTGTAGGTCCTTAAAGCCAAACATAGAGAAAAGCCCAAGTTGCAAAACAGTTAATGTTTTTTCCTGTGTTTGTTTTCCTGTTTTCTTTGAATTTAGCAAAGTGATTTTCAAGTCCTGGCCCTTCTCAGATATTCTAGAAAAAAATTAGCAGAAGGGTAATTTCTGGTCCTTATTCAGCCTATTCATTAAGTGGGAGCAGGGCACCCCTGGGAACAGTGTGGATGACAGAAGTCATTAAAATGAGACATGTCTAAATGAAAAGTTATTTTTAGGGGTACAGGGTTAGAAAGTTGGAAACTACTTGGAAAACTGACCTCCTCTGGAATACTTCTCCAGAGATTCTAGCTCCAAAGATAAAATTCAAAGATTCTTAGATTTCTTCTATTAAGTAGTAATAATGCCATACTTAACTAACATCATTTTACAATCTCTCATTTTTTCTGAATTTCTACTGATCTTAATGAATCCCACACATATTTATATGCTCCGGCTTACATTTCCTTGTTTCATGTAAATTTATTTTCTTAGCATCTATGTATGTTCCTTGAAAGTGATGGGCACCCCTTTTATTTATTCTGTGTCATTCTCTTGTTCCAGTGCTTAGCACAGTGAAGGGTAGGTGATCATTGCTGAGTATCTATAAACAGTTGACTCACCTGTATTGTATAGAACATATATTCTGATTCTAAGAGGACTCAAGATATCAAATGGATTATATGGAACTCTGAGGTCATTAAGATTTTGGCAAGCGTGAATGTGGCACAAAAGTTCACGGATATTGCTTTTAAAAGGCACGTGAGACTGGGACTACCATATTCCCTGAAAATCTTGTTTATTGTAGCTCTTTGCAATCTGGAACTTATATATTACTCATTTTAATGTCACTAAACCCTGTACACTGGTCCAGACAAAGCCCTTTTCCCAAATGAGAAAATTGGAATACACAGAGATAAAGGACTATGTGCATGTTTACCAAATTGGTGAGTGGCAGAGATGTTGTTTGAATCAAGCCTTTCTGCATCCAAATGTAGTGTTCCTCCCATTCCTCTCCACTAGCTTAGGTGACTATTCTTCTACATAATGAAACTCTCTTAGGACAAGAGAAACCTTAAGAGATATAGAGAGATTAGGAGAGGACCTATTTTCTTAATTCAAAGTATGATGTGTCATAAATTCATTTGTCTGAAATAGTAGTTTTCTCACCTGGACTTTACCTGGGCACCCTTCTAATAATCCCCTTTCAGAGTATGGGAAAGGAAATTATGTCTGAGAAGGGGGCAAGAATACTTCCTACTTAGTCAAAAGAAAGGGTTAAAATGTGATTCTTTAAAGGTTTAAGGAGAAGAGAGTGCTGAATGATCTAATTGTCAAAAACTAGGCTAAAAGGCTATATTTCCTCCCTAATGTCTTTTTCAGCTTATAGGGGAAAAGTTAAGGGGTGTGTGTCTGCCGGAAGGGTTAGGAAGGGGAGAACAGAACTCTTTCCTTCTCATAGGCTTTCTTAAAAAAATAAGAAGAAAGAAAAATAAAAATTTGTTTCTCTATTAAGCCCCGTCTATGCTTAAAACATAAATGAAGGAGGGAAAGTTCAGGCACAGAGACGCGTGTTCTGATTTGGTTGTTTACCATCAATCAGACCGTTGCTTGGCAGACACTGGGTGGTTATGAGCCTGAACAAGCTGAAAAGGGGCAGGAAAAGAAGTGGAGGCAGCATTCTTCCTATTTAAAGCTGCATCGCTTGAAAAAAGTTTTCGCAGACTGTGCTGGAGCTGGTGCTGAAAAAGGGGGTTTGCAGAGGCTGCCCTGGGACTGGTGCTGAAAGGAGAAGAGCCCACAGCTGCCTTCATGGTGCTGCAATAACCTTAGAATCTACTTTTCACTCCCAGGAGGACCCCCATGTCTAATATTTAGACACGATGGCAAACTGGGTGGAAGCGAGACCTCTCCTCATTCTTACTGTTCTATTAGGGCAATTTGTCTCAATAAAAGCCCAGGAAGAAGGCGAGGATGGTGAGTTTGCCGTTTGCTTTGCTTGTGGTATTTGTTGCACGGTTTGGGAACTAGGTGGAATGTTAAGCTTCAGGAAAAGCGTGAAGAGGAGGTTCTGGTTTGAAGTTTGAGAAGGGGGCTGACAGATTTGCACCTGGGAAACGGCTGGGAAGACGATCGGGATGTTTGTAAATCCGGAGCTTCTATGTCTGCCCTGGGAAAGAGTCCACATCTAGATATTTCTGGGAAAGCCTACGATAAGTCCTTTTGTCTGAGTGTGAGAGTGGGAAGTTTGAAAGAAAAGAAGAATGCTTAAAACGGAGCCCGAGGCACTTTTAGTTAGAAGAGTTCTGTTCTGTGGGTTGGAGATTTCAGAGCAAGGAAAAGTCACTGCAGAAGCTGGGTAGGGTGGAGTCTTTTTTGTACTGAACTTCAGCTGCTTCATAAAATTCTTTGTTTAGAAAAACCTCTGCGGCAACTCTGATAGCTCTGATTTTTCTTCGTCTTTGGCTCCTCATTCTCTCCTCTTTACAGACTTGTACTTCTTCACCATTTTCATTTGTGATCTTAAATCACTTTTGCTTACCGAGAGTCAGTCTCGTTTACTTCTTCATGTCAGAGGCTGATAGAAGCCAGATTTCTTAAACAGTGGTATTTTCCCACCCTACTGACTTGATTATCAGGACAGTGGTGGTTCCTGGCTGGATGGCGGATGGCAGGAAATCAGCATGCCTTATATATGACTTATCTGGCATGCAGTATTTGTATGGGCATTGTCCCTTAAACACGAGGGTTTTTTTTTTTTTTGTTTGTTTGTTTTGTTTTTTGTTTTTTTTAAAGGCAAATCTTGCTGGGTTTCTGAATTTTTTCCTATGCAATTTCGTATGTTACAGTTGGGTTATATGGTATGGTTAAGCAACAATTCATGGCTGCTATAAAATATAAGAAAATATTTATATTGCGTACAATGATTAATCCTTACTCTTGAGGGTTGCAATTTCAAATACAGACATGTACTCTTTTACAATAGGCCATTATAGAGTTTTGTAAGTATTTAACATCGAACTCAAGCTTTTAAAACAGCACATTCATTAACCTTTTCTGTTACCATCTTTCGTATATATACACACACACACATATACATATGCATACATATTTTTTTACTTTCTGCTTCTGTATATTTTTGCTCGAAAGATGTTCATAAAATTAATGTAGAGGCCATAAATTCTAAACACTTATAAAGAGTGAAAATAAGAATCTAGAGATGAATACCCAACAATCTGTCAGGAGTCCCATAGAGGGGGCACTTTCTAAAATCTTGGAACTTTTTATGTTCCAAAAAAAGGGGCAATTTATAGAAGGTAAAAATTCTTCAGTTTCTTTGTAATGGTGTAAAAGCATGTGCTGTTTGGAAGGGTGGGGAAGATAATAAAATAAGAAATAGAAGTTAGGAAAGGGGAGAAAAATACAGAAAAATTAAAATGGAAATAGAAAATCTGATTATCAAAGAAGAGTTTACTCCCCTCCCCCACCAAAACAACCAACTTTAATTTGAGACTTTTAAATACAACTTTCTTTGTTAATTTATATTAAAATTAATAACTTACTTTTATAAGGTATAGAAATAATTGAATATTTGAATAAATGGAAGGAATGTTTCATAAGGTATATGAAATAGTCCATATGTTAAAAGACTTTCCCAAATAGTTGTAATTACTTTGTAGGAACTTTTAAAAATGAGCGGGATTTAATTTTCCTTAATGGTAATTTACATAAATGTTAAAAATGTGATATTTGGTACAAAAAAGTCCCCAACTTCAAACCAACCTCACTCCCTCCCAGTATAACTAAACAGCACAGAAGCTGGAATTCCAATCATCAGATTTTACAGAGAAAGTGTAATTACTTGCACACATATTATAGAAAATAAATTCCTCTATTTTATTACCTAACCTCAGAGAATACACGTGATTAAAATTCAATAGCAAAAGAAAGTAGTTATGGCCCTAATTAAAGATAATACAGAAAAGAATTCCAGAATCCGGTAAATTCAGAGCTACGTATCTTACCATGCATATTTTGGTTTAAGTTGATATTTTATGGATACTTGGCAATACTTTATTTTCCCTGTTCAGGCATGTCACAAGCTTAACAAAAGTGTCAGAATTTAGAGACTCCATGTGATTTTGAGTCTAGGGAAGAGCAACCTTAGGTAAATGTTTTATATTAAAGAAATATCTAGGACACACATGTAAAGCAAGTACATTTTTCAAATTTTAGCTATAACTAAGTCATATAATATGGTATTTACTTTGTGTACAGATATATTCCCTTGGTAATGTAGAGACCTGTTACCACATGTAAGTGCTTATTTGTAAGCTTTTGTTTTTTCTTTTTATGACTTCAAGGTATTTATTTTTTGTATTTGACTATGATTGTTTACCAGTAATGGGAAACATAAGTACAGTGCTTGCATAATAGAAATACACTCGAATGATAAGATAAAAGTAAATAATAAAATTTTAGGCATTTTTGGCCAAAATCAGTACTACATCTCACTAAATTTTAAGAACTGATTTGCTTTTTAAATTCATAGAAATTGTAAGAAGTTGCGAGTTGGGCTAACTTTAGCTGAAACTAGTGAGTAACAAAAATCTGAGAGTTAAGATGACAAAATCAACTTTTCAAGAGTTAGTGTGTGTATGTGAAAGGTTCCATGTTTGATTTTTGTATGAGAAAATACTAGAATATTTACAGTAAATTTTATATTCCTAAATAAAGGTCAACACCTAGTGAGCTATACACATTTTTGTTATTAGAAGTAGGCATACTTAACATAGGAAATACTCTTTGGTGTGAGTCATTGTTTTCAATACCAGATGAGCAATAGAGAGAAGAGAAGGTACAGAAATGTACCATTTTGTTTCCAGATACTGTGAACTTCAGAGGCCAGGCAGGTGACATAAACAACTGAAGCAAGCAAGTGTTTGTACATCAACAGGGGATGATGGGGTCTGCAGAGAAATGAAGATGCATGTCCACTTTAAGGCATTCAAAATTAACATTTTCAGAAAGCATTGCATAAGCCAAATAAAATATATCTGAGTGCCAAATTTGACTAATGGACCATAAATTTGCAACCCTCTTGTTGCAATCCTACATTGATATCCTGGGCCCAAGCCAACTTCTGATTACTAAGAGATCCTTTCTATATCATGGTCTCCTGCATTTTTATTATGTTATGTCTGCCATTTATATCATTGTTAAGATACAAATATGAATAAGCAGATGCTTAACACTCAGTGAAACTTGGATGGCATCAGGTTAAAGGAGCTACAGAACATGAACACATAGATTAAGATACTTGTTCATTCATAAATTGTTTTAAACTCATTGCTATTGAAACAGATACTTTGGATCATGTAGGACATGCAGACTTTTATTTTACAGTCAGTGCTTTAATTTAGGTTGAACTTTATGAAGCAGAATGCAATAGTTCAGTAAGTTTTTATTTTCTCATGTAAAAGCAGCTTTTAAGTAGGCAATGAAATGTTGGTATCTTGGCCCCCCAGAGTCATCAGAATGTCATGCTTGTTTTAGCTCTCTACTCCCAGATCCCTAGGGTTTGGTTCTTGATTTTATGGTCCTAGATGGATGCTGGAGTCCCAGCCATTACAGGTACTTTCCAGGCATCTGGATAGAGGATGGGGAACAAAGGTGGTGACCACCCCCTTTTTTATGGTGATTTTTCAGTCACCATAACATTTAAATTTACTTATACTTGGCCTGAATGTAGTCATACAAAGCTACACGGATGGCTGGGAAATGTAGCCTTTTAGTTGGGTGACAACAGCAACGAAGGATGACTATTAGGAGGCAACTACAGTCCTGGCCACAATGAGCATATATGTTGGCCACTTTTAGTACAATAGATATTATGGTTTCAATGGACAGAATGTAGGTGAGTGATCAGATTCACCCTGGCTGTTGTTCATTCCTGAATAGACTATGAAGCCAAGAACACTGGATGACAATGAAGTATTAGGCTGCATTTTCTTTGCTTCGTAATCTAATTCTCTTCAGATAAATTTAGAAGTACCTATAACTTTTTTGTTTTGAAGAGTATATCTCTCTCTACATATGTAGATTGGTAGATTGATAGATTTAGTGAATTCTTTACATTGACTAAAACAGTGTAGAATTTGACCATGATTCTAAGGATAGTTGGTAAACAACCTTCAGATCAGTGTTGAGTTGGCTGCATAAAGAATCATCTGGAGATCATATTAGTAATACAGATTTTATGCTCCCCACCTTTCCAAATATCTTGGTTTAGTAGATTTGGATGGGGCTGTGAATCTGTATATTTTCAAAGCTCACCAGGTGAATCTGATTCACATTGCTGAACCCCTATATGAAATCTTTAACTATGACTATTGATTATGATATGGACCAATTGGCTTCTATGTTCCAAGGCTACACATTCTGACTTTGGTGACAACTTGCTATTCTTTTCATTTTACTTATAAGGCTGCCTAAAGTTTCTAGATAAACCACTGAAAATTCACCATCTTTTCTGGAAACATAATTCAAGGCACAAATCTCCCTCAGAGTGGGTTCAGTGAATCATTCTACTATGCAAAGGACACATGTTCTTCAAATATATTTCAAGGTGAATATATACTTTTTATTTTCAATCTTTTTTTTTACTTCCTGTTTTTTGTACTTTCAGCACTATCATCACAGGCCTGAAATTCATTGTGTTGATCATTCTAGACATGCATATAATGGAGGATGTGAGGCAAAAACAGAAAGAGGAAGCTTTTTTTTTTGAGTAACTAGGATTTAGGAGATTGTAGTCATGCTAATCTTTGGCCAGAATAAAATCGTTTTTAATCATTTCACTCCAGATTGAAGGATAATTTGTGCATCACCACCAAGTCTTACATGGCATTCATAAAACGTTTGAACACAGGTCAGCTACTTTTTGATCTGATGTTTTTTGCTCTGAGATCACAACA